ATAATAATTATTTCATATGAGTGTGTATAATGTTGAAAAATTGTTAATAATTGCATAACTCCTTCTTGTTTAAAATTAAAGCTGTTTTGCGCGCATTGATAGATTACATGTACTTGGAAGTGATGCGGTGCTGAACGGATTGTTTCCTCGGAAACGCTTATGTTTCAATCGACTGGAATATCACCTTTTTTCAGAAACATATACTAGCGGGGAAAAAAACTGTGCATGCGGAGAATTGTTATAGAACATGTATTACCAACTGCATATGCATGATAATTCACACACATGACCGAGTATGACACATACACACTATCCGTGTGTCATTAACAGTTTTTCCCGTGCAGTTTGCTCTCTATCGGCGTTGATCAGTTTGCACGTTTTTCTCGTCCAGCCATCCAATTCGACAATGAAAATTTATTTATCAACTGTTGGGTCATTCTGTTGAGACAAGTGCACAGTAAAAACAGTATTATAACGTTTTAATTTGTGATAAATGCTATGGGTGGGTGGGGAGGGGGGGGAGGGGGGCTCAATGAAAATGACCGCCACCGGATTATTGGTATGCTTCAAGCTGGTATGGGCCAAACCGTACATTGTCTCTACACGTTTTCATGTCCATCGAAACACAATCCGGGATTTGTGGAGCCGACATCAACAGTTTGGCCGCGTCGGCGATCGACCTCGTGCGGGACCTCCACGTGTGACGTCACGTCAACACAACAACCATATTCGGCTTGGCCATTTGAGAAATCGCTTCCAAACGGCAAGTTTGACTGCACGGACAATCCATGGGTTGCTACCAATAAGCCCGAGAACTGTACGGAACCGATTGCGTGAACGAGCTATCCGTCCGCGACAACTTGCAATCCGCCCAGTTCTTCTGCCACGTCATCGTGAGGCACGTCTGGACTGGTGCAGAAGGCATCTGCGATTTACTCGACGGGATTGGGCAGGCATTTTGTTTGCGGACGTGTCGCGAGGCCACCTGGATAGTAGTGACGGCCGTTCCAGAGTGTGTCGTCGCGTTGGAGAACGTTTCCGTGACGCGTGTGTGGTACAACGACGTTCTTTCGGCGGAGGCAGCGTTATGATTTGGGACGGCATTACAGCCAACGGGAGAACGCCTCTGGTGGTTGGTAACGGGAATTTGAACTCGCTACGTTACCGTGACGAGATCCTCCGGATCCACGTCGTTCCATTCGTGCAAAGGCAGCAACGTCACAATACGATACAGCAGGACAACGCCAATCACACAAAGCTCGTATCGCTATGGCCCAGCAGAACGTTGACGTGTTGCCCTGGCCTGCTGTATCCCCCGATCTGTCGCCCATTGAACACGTCTGGGATGAAATGGAGCGCAGATTACGGGCATTACCTAATCAACCGGTGACGTTGACTGATTTGCCTGCAGCGTTGGTACAGATCTGGAATGCCATCCCACAAGCATTCTTGAACCGTCTGATAGGCTCCATGCGTCGACGTTGCCAGGCTTGCATTCAAGCAAACGGTCGACATACGATGTTTTAACTTTGTGAACTCAATATTGACCCCTGCTGTGTTTATGTCACTCCTGAGCGAAACTTATTGATTTCATAACGTGGAAAATGGAATGCAACTGTTAATAAATAACAAATAAATTGTCTCTGAAAACCTTGGTGTTCTACGTCATACACATTTATTTTTATAACACATTTTAGGCATGCACAGTTTCTTTTTTCCGCTAGTATATATCCTCGGAAATTTTTAATTAAAGTGGTCCTTTCAGTAGGTGATAACGATTCCAAGGACATTTCGTTTGAAACAGATTCCATGTCTAATCGGTCAGATTAGCATCGCTAGCAGAATGCGTTCACAGGGGCTCGGTTTCGTGATTTTGAGTAATGGATGACTCACTGAAGAACCAAAACACTTAAAAAGGTATTTATACACATTCTAAAACCTTATCGATACCCTCGACCTTTACAAGGTTTTATAAATGCTGAAATTTGGTGTTGTGGTTATTCACTGATGTTAAGCATAACTCAAAATCTCGAAACCGAGCCCCTGTGTGATGACGTTGACAAACTTGGTAGTTTCGTATCTAGAATATCACTTTCAATAATTTTGTGGAACCTACAAATCTTATAATAATCTATATTGTCATAATTTGTCAAATTGCTTTATTTTTTGCGATGATCTACATTGCTAAATGCTAACGAACCCAGAAAGTTTTCTGACTATAGGCCTATTGATTTATTTACCTAGGACACCTGGAGCTGTATTCCTACACTGACCGACATATAGGCAAATGCAACACAGAATGTAAAGGCCTTTGTTGTATTTTTCACCAGCTATGCTCAAAAATATTAACAACTAAATATTCATATCACCTTTCTTGAAAACGGGAGCTTGACAACACATGGTTATTTGGGTAAGGCTCCACGTATTGGAAATGAGGCAACGCGTGATTAGGAGTTAGACAATGCGTGATTGTGAAATAGGCAGCGCTTGTTATTCTAATCACCTTGATCATTGATTGTGCCCGTCTGTGTTTATATATATATATATGAATTCTCATATTTATAAACGTTCAATATATACTTCATGATACCTTATTCTTATTCTAACATGACATCAAGCAAACCCCTTCCCTAAAACGTATTCTCCGGAACCCTTCTGATAAACTGAACCAATTTGACTGGTCTGTCTTTAAATTGCAATATAAACTCGATCTGTCATTGTTAATGCGTTTCCTCTAACAAATACAACGAAATCAGATCAAACTCTTCCTGTCCAATCTGGCAAGGGTAACAAATGGCAGCATTGTTGGTAAGGCTATTACATTCATATTACAAAGACGCTACATATCACTGTCCGAATCCCCCTCAATACTTACGGCTAATTATCAGTTGCTAGACAATCTATGGACGTTATATCATCTAAAGTAGTTCTATATTACCCTCAAACATATTGGAGAACCATTTACCACGGACGCTAGTTGACATGTCAAATTTCTGACAAATATGGGATTTTTATTAGATCCAGGTCATTCCTTATTTGGTCGTACGAATGGGTAACCATGTGTATAGTTGATCCCTGTCGGAGGCTCCCTAACTGGTCTCAAGTTATATAGTGCATGTATGTAGCCCAATAGATCCGAGTTATCACTTAGCTCAGACAATTCCAAACCCACACAGGACCCGGTTATGTACTAGACAAAGGGGATACGTTTTACGTAGGACTGTGTAGTAATGCCGGCCTGACATTGTTTGACTGAGGTGTTCTGTACCCTCCAAGAATATTGCCGCCGAATCCATGTTGTTTTCATTGCCAATACGATGTCAATACTTAAGAGCGTTTTAGACAATGACTACGATGTTAATACTTAAGAGCGTTTGCGACAATGACTACGATGTCAATACTTAAGAGCGTTTGAGACAATGATTACGATGTCAATACTTAAGAGCGTTTGAGACAATGACTACGATGTTAATACTTAAGAGCGTTTGAGACAATGACTACGATGTCAATACTTAAGAGCGTTTGAGACAATGAATACGATGTCAATACTTAAGAGCGTTTGAGACAATGACTACGATTATAGAATATCCCACTTAATAGGTTTCCTAGTGTCTGTGATTTACAGCGGAACTTTTATCACCTTTTATCGACGCAGGGACACATTACACACCACACTTGCTCATTATTTCTTTAGTTGTAATCAATTATGACGCTCCATCTATCCCTCTATGTTATTTAAGCATACTATTTTTGTAAACGTTCCTAACGTTACATTACCCAAATCGGGACACTTTTTAATGAAATATTGATGTATTTCATACCATAGTACCGATCCCAGTAATTTTTGTTCACTTTTCTTAAATACATATCATTATCTTTTCATTTTGATAACAAGTTCATATTTCCGGCGCATGGTTCTATAAACAAACCCGGAAATATAACCGTGGTTATGTAATCGCGAAACAGATGTAGCTGTACCCAAATTGGGACACCCCTACCAGTTTTGACTTATATTTGGAGATCAAAAAAGTATTTAGCAGAAAATGTCATATCTTTGGAATATTTAAGAGTCAATGGTCGTTCTGAATGAATTTCTTTTCCAAACTACCATTAGTTGTGAAATAGTAGGATTGTAAAAATTCACATACAAAAATTGAAAATCAATAACGTCACATGGCGCATCAATTTTGAACATCACGTTTTCGTCATTATTTACAAACTAAAACTGTGACTGTAACCATCAGTGGCAGTAAATAAAGTTCATATAATGTTTTATTGGTATATTAGCATCTTTAAATCAATATTTTCAATTTGAAAATACTTTTTTCCACAGTATGCAAATTTCTTGTGACTTTTCCTTCAAGTGTCCCGACCCGATATGTATAAGATTAGCAAATTTTCACGTGACAAAATTAAAAGTAAGGAAATGTATTGTAAATAATTATTGAATATATCAGATCCTACATGAGTTTCAATTTCATATAAAAAGTATGAAACTCGTCGCGAATAAGGCGAAAATAGGACATCTTCGATTTACAAGTATTGTTTATCCATCTGGACCTGGTGAAAATAAGATGTTGTGTTAGCTATGTAAGGGGTTCAGGAACACCAAACGATCATCACTACGAACAGCGTTTTCACATAAAGTATTTCAAGGTGTGCATCACAAAAGTTTGCTTGATTTGACTGTAAATATCACGACGAATACCAGATTGTGCTGCAGAAAAATACTTACATGTCCGAAACACATGTTTCCACCTTCGGTTTTATATTGGGCTTAAAATGGCCTCTCCTGCTATCTTACTTGGTTATGTTTCGGCCCTATTGTGTCCTAAAGTTTTGACGCTAAGGTTTATATATATACATACATATAGTATTACGTGATTTTACATAAGTTCAGTTATCGCATAAACCCTAATAGAAAGCATCTTGGTAAATCTTGTCAAAAGTATTGAGTAATAGAGCAATAAGTATAACTGTACATATACTCTCCTCTACAGAATAACAATCCGGGCGAGCTGTCCTATGAAGCTGATGAACTACCCAATGGACCGACCCGTATGCCCTTTGATAATTGGCGGATGTGAGTATAAATTATTTAGTGGCCCGGATGTTAGGAAGTCACGTCTGTAGACGTGAGGTCAAATAATGGAGTGTCCTCTTAGAATCTCAAGCTCAACGACCAGTTGCCAGTGGTCATCCTTTACGTTTATGTAGACCTCTAGAGTCTGGACAATTTTCTCATTTGATACGTAATTCCTACAAATCATCAATGTCTGCTGTATCTTGTACAAGGGAGTTCACACACAATCAGTCAACTTCCATTCATTGTTAATAATTAAACAGTGTGGCCCGGACAAACACTCTCTCATTCGTCCTGAATATTAATATGTATGTGCTGTTTCAGGTGAAGAGTGTTCCTAGCTAAATGTCTACTGTCAATGGACTTATAACCGTCTTGACGGCATCTGATACGGTTGCAATAAGAACAAGAGTACAATATGAATTTATAAATGAAAACATTCAATGTTTTACATATTTAAACATTTCTTATACAATCTGACTAAGTAAGTCATTTTAAACACCACATGATAAAACTGCAAAAACAGTTTTCCAAACAGTAAATATAGAAAAAGATATTGTGTGCTCAGACACTCAATGTAAATTAATCACTAGAAATACGAGATCAAGAAGGATTTATTATACAATTTGTCAGTCGATGCAGAAAACCAAATATTTTCTGCTAAAACATTTGGCCATTATGTCCAATTAGTACTCATCAGTGATACTTAAGGTCATAGAACGAAAATCGATTTCAAAATTGTCGAAACATAGGTAGAATACAACAAAACAGGAGAAATGTCACTAAAAAACGAAATCTCTTTATAACGTTACCAATATGCAACCTTTGGCTGCAACAGATAGAAAATTATTTTTAATTAGTACCTTCAATAAGGTGTATCAGTTTAGAAACATATGATACCAACGTTTTACTTTCCACACAAACAATGTACGTATAAACGTGTCGCAACGTTTTCAGACCGACTGGTCCCTTTGTCATGCTGAGTCCTTGTAGAAAGTACAAATTGGATATCATTTTTAAATATTATTTGTTGTGAAACTGTGCCAGAATATATTCTAACCATGAAATCAAGGTCAACCTTTGAAACCGATAGTTTGATATTCCACCTGCTAGGTTTCACGAGAATGCCTCATGTTATTCAGAGCTTCTTGTTACTAAGACAGCGATAGTAACATTAAGTAAAATTGTATAACAGACAGAAATAGTGATGATAAGATCAAAGAGATTTCGGAAAATAAAATAAGATTATCAATTTACCAGTTTAAGGCAGGTTTCATCTAAATCTACCACTGCTGTGTCTGTTCCGTTTTAGATGGTTACACGACGAAGGATGTTCTGTACATATGGAAGGTGGGGGCTGTGCCGTCACCTGTAGAAGTCTACAACGATCTCACTATGTCGCAGTTTGACATGGACTTCATCCAATCTATGAACTTTACAGAAAGCAACCACATGGGTGAGTCTAGTGACAACATTCTGTCGCCACCTGTCGATAGTTTCATGCTGTCCCCCATCCATCGAGGGGAGAGTGGTTATTTTTGAAAAGAACGCTAATACTTGAGGTGCTCTAACACAAAATGTATCCTATCACATCACAAACATCACATAAAGTAATCACCTAACGGTACACCATTGGGGCATAAAACGGACAACGTGGAATCATTAGCAAAAAGGCAGAACTACTATGTTGAACCTGTAAGGGTTCTATATTTGTCGAATCTTAAGACGATATAGAGACATACAATATAGTACAGTTATGAGTGACCAAGCATGAAAGAGTCGCATCGCGAAAATATTGCGTATTAATAGATGTTAGTGTTGTGGTTATAAGCAAAAGCGACTAGAGGAGCGTAGCATTGAAACGAGATATCATTTGTATATGACGAACCAACATATAGCTGATACAACATTCGGGCGACAACGTCTGTCACATATATTCTATCAACTAATGCAATTGGTGATATCTATGCAAGTGTTTTGTACTTTGAAAACGCTTCTCAAACATAAATCGTTTTAAATGATTTGCCAACAATGAAACACGCATATCTCCAATAAGTAGAATGTATTGTGCTCCTGTCGAGTGCTAAAGGGCATCACTGTGAGCGGCGGTATTTAACTTTTTGTGCGAGTACGATGGAAATGGATCACAACGCCACACTACGAGGTGCTCCTCAGAACAGGCCGTGATGTACCAATGTTCTATGCCCCTGTTAGCACGTGTCGTGCAGAGCGTAGCGTGCATTTCTTAAGAGTGATCAAGGGTTAATTTCCTCTGTAAGGCATGTTTTATTCAATTCTATATCTACCAACTGATTTAATTTTTGTTCCAACAAACTTAGAAACATCTGTTTATGCATAATGGAACTAAGACACGAACATTGAGAAAAAGGTCACATCCATTGTTTTTAATTCTGGAACTGCTTCGAAATCGACCGTAGTTTTTACAGTTTGCTACTGTGTTCTATGCTTGTGTATTTAATTCACGGTGTTCGCGGATACAATCGGATTATTAAGTACGAGTAGAGTAAATAATCATACAGTTTAACCGAATCAAGTGACAAGAACCGGATAATTTTACAAATCTGTGTCAGAAAAATCATTGTTTATCTCTATTCATACAGATAACACTTGTGTATGCCCTATTTACTTTATAAAACTGTTCTCATGATCAATCTCATATTCCTTCGCCAACATCAGTTCTTAATTCAAGTAAGGCAAACTGTTAAAGTATTGTATCTTATATCTGTATGTACTTAGCCTAAACTTGAAGATGAGAATACTTTCCATATTTATTGATTATTGTTGACCCCATAGATATATGTTTGTTAAATTAAGAAATACTTTTTGAGCACATTACTTCAGTCTAGTATGAGTATAATTAAGTGAAAACGAGGTCTATTGTCGAACGAACAACGTTATGTTAACTTGATTTTCGGCAGTATTAATCTTTCACAAATCATTTATCCCTCCATTATCCTTCGTGTATTCTTTAACCAACACAGTTATAATGGCCCACACCATTACTAAAACATTTTTCCTTCGGTGCTTTCAGACAGACAAGGTGCACGCTGTTTTATACAAAATCACGCCGGGAAAATTATTTAAATTGTTGCCGTAACACTCTCACATGTAACCGTTGTAGACAATGCTTGTCTTGTCATGTGACAATCTCCTGCACTTTAAGGAGCACTCTCCCCAAGCTCGTACATTGACGAATCCTCTGAGCGATAACACATGTCTCTCGTACATACTAAATTTTAAATGTAAAAAGCAGGATTTAGGTCATAAGTTTATAAGTCCATAAAAAGAGCAATAACTGCCTTCTACATAATTAATAATTGTAAACTGAATGATAATGTACTTGTGATATGACCGGTTAGGTGATCCGTAAAATCTACTGTCGTGTACCACACGACACTTTTAGTATATAGGCATATTTTTGTGTGGATCGAGATAATATTTTGAATCAACGTCAATCATTGAGAATACAAAGCGGTTAAGTGGACACCATCATATACGAACGACTTTATCTTTTAAAAAGGTCTGGATGAAATGCGAATTGTTTTCAAGTTTATGTCTGTGACATTTTCTGTAGTGGAGTAAAGGTCATGGAAATCGATAAAACTAGGGCAAAATATGTGCAAAGAAAAGTATAAAGATTAGATGTTCCATGGATAACAAAGGCATTGTAAAACTAGGTCAAATTAAAATAATGTCATGTCTTCAAGCGAGAACTGGGACAGTATTAAAATGATGGCAAGCATACACTTTCGATGGTCTTTATTTGAAACCCTTTTTTGTCAAGTCTGTTCTATAAAAGTAGGCATATATCACTGCAATCATTAATAATATTCAAAGCAAATGCTTCGACGCGAAATCATCAGCGGCATGTAAACATCGTCGATGGGAGCAGCAGAGATGTTACTATTCAACAACGGAAAGTTAAATCGAAATCGTTCCGCACGTAATACTTCGTAGTAACATGTAGTAACTTTGTAATAAAAATTCGAGATAAGCAGCTGGTTTCGAAAAGTACATTATCTTTTGATTTCGAAATCAAGAATTATTAAACGATCGATGTGGTTGATAAATTTCTTGACAGAAAATAAGCGTTTCTGTAGTAAAATACTACATATGAGAAGGATAAAATGTACGTCCACAAAGATCCCACTCAGAGTCAGGGAGACAAAATTCAACAATGTGAGATGTGTTCTTTTTCGGATAATATTCGCAATCCATGTCAAATTAGAATATATTGTTAAGATTTCTAACAATAACAGTTTATTTGTTTATATACAACAATGTTAATTTACACTTTTAAACTGTAAGTGATATCTTATATAGAACACTTCAGGTCAAATTCAATTTTGGGTACATATGGAATGGAGTCTGTTGCTCGGTAATAAAACTGTCTATTTCTTTTATTTGACACTGTCGCCGATTTCCTACATGGAAGCCTGCTCATACTATAATTCAAATATAATTGGAAATGTTTTCCCTGTAAACAGCTACCAACAAACTGTTTAAACGTCATGTGCCTTGTGCGTTTCCTTGTAGCCTCGTATGCATGCGTTTACTAGTCCGTAGATCAAGTGATTTAATGCGTTAAGTGGAATAGGCAGTATATACTTGTAGGCCATATGTTATAGTGCCGCGCGCCTGCTCATTTTTATAGGTTTACTGTTCTTTTGTCTTAAACACCTTGCGACTGTAGTACAGTTCTGAATTACCGTGTCACACTTCTTCCCATCAATAAATCTGTTCATTTAAATCGATCGTAAATAAATCTAGCGACACAGCCCGAGTGGTGTGACGACAAACAAAGCTGATTAGTACTAAAGGGAAGCGCAGGCCTATGTATAGAGGCGTTTAACATCTCCGGAAAACAAATTAGGAAGCATCCTTGTGAAGGATCACCAGAGCCTTCATTAACGTCAATGACTTACGGTCTAAGTCTATAAGAGGAGATAATTGGTCATTAGGCGACCCACTTTAACACTCGCGTCGATTGCGATGGTTTTCTGGTATAAGATGATATCCTTATTACAGGTTAGAACTACACTAGTGTTGTTTGTTGCCCAACAGTACAGTTTGGTTGCTTATTGGTGGTTAACGGCTCCGTAGCATAATAGAGAGAGGAAAGCATACGTACCTCAGTATTTGTATTGAATCCGGCGTAGCTGAGGCGTTTTGTTATTTTTGATTCAACCCAAGAAAAATTAGGAAATACATCATGCATTCTACAGAAACACGTATTGTAACCTTTAGTCAACATTTTTATACGAAATACTTATTCTTACCTCAAAAAACCTACCAACCAGGCCCATGATGCTCAGCATTTGGCTTACTTTAACCAGTTGTTAGTCAAAAACAAATTATCGAAACTTGGAGACAATGGCTTTCAAAACAAAATAAATCCTCAACTCAAAACACATAAACCTTATCTTAACTACTAGTTTACTCTAACCAAGCTTTGTGCAATCAGGATCAGCAGGTTGTTCAGCTCGATTTGAATGCTGATTTATCTTGATTCTGTTCTATATTATCTCTGTTCATGTCGTTTTCTTTACAGGCGAGTTTTCAATTTTGGCTGTTGACTTCCACTTAGAGCGCCACTTGGGCTTCTTTATTCTGCAGACTTATCTGCCCTGCACGTTGATTGTATGTCTGTCCTGGGTCTCGTTCTGGATCAACAGAGACGCCGCCCCCGCAAGAGTTTTACTGGGTATGTTCCTCTGGTGAGATCAGGGCATAACAGATGCTATAACAAAGTCTATTTTGTATTCTAACACGATTCGGTTGCAACGCGTGTTTTGATTGGATACGGACCATATTCTAATCTGCGATATAATCATGATCAATCGTGTTAAGCTCCTCCCATCGCACTTAAGCGTACTTTTGTACAAGGAAATACAATGCTTCTAAACATAATAGCGTAGTATATTTGTAAAGGTGTGTTACAATGGGGATACTACGTCGTTTTTCGTGTCTATACTGGCGATTAGAACAAGAAGTTTGGTTTAAACTCTCGACCTATCGGTCTCGAGTTCAAACCGAATTTCGTGTTCTAATCGCCAGTATAGCCATTCAAAACAACGAACAGCCTACTTTAATCGCAAAGTAAGCGTATGAAATCGACATTTTCGCGGTTTCGTGATCACCAACATTCCCTTTACTGTCTAAAAAGGCAATCTTTTCCAAAGTTCTTATTATGGACATTATGGACTCACAATTTCATAGGCAAAGTTTTTTTTTTTTAAAACACAATCTTGTCATTGATGCAGCATCTGACATCAGCAAAAGTACGATTAGTGACAACCATCTTGACGATGACAGCCATTCGTATGCAACAACACTTCAAAACGAATCAACACTTACTTTGAGCGAACCCCGTCTGTTATTTAAAATGTTTGATTATCTCTCTTGCAGGAATGACGACGATCCTGTCGACGGCAGCCATTGGTATGCTACAGCGTGACGGGCTACCTCGCGTGCCGTATGCAACTGCCCTGGACGTGTATCTGTACGTGTGTCTAGTGTACAACCTGGCCGCCATGATCCAGTACGCAGCCGTCAATTCCTTCACCAAAATCGTTGCCGCCACCAAGCCTCATCAGGAGCGAAACGAGGAAGAAACACAGGTAAGGAGGTCACCGACCTCATTGTCAGCACGGAGCCTCGCGAGGACCGAAAGGGGGAAGAAACACAGGTAAGGAGGTCACCGAGCTCATTGTCAGCTCGAAACCTCGCGAGGACCGAAAGGAGGAAGAAACACAGGTAAGGTGGTCACCGAACTCATTGTCAGCACGGAGCCTCGCGATGAGCGAAAGGAAACAGAAAAACAGGAAAGAATGTGACAAAAACTTGTCATCACGAAGCCTCGCGATGATCGAAAGGGGGAGGAATCGCAGGTAATGAGATCACCAAAACTGATCAGCTCGCAGTCTAGCGAGGAGCGAAAGGAGGAAGGAACACAGGTAAGGAGGTCACCAAAACTTGTCAGCACGAAGCCTTGCAATGAGCGAAAGGGAGAAAAACACAGGTAAGAAGATCACCAAAACTTGTCAGCACGAAGCCTTGCGATGAGCGAAAGGAGGAAGGAACACAGGTAAGGATGTCACCAAAACTTGTCAGCACGAAGCCTTGCGATGAGCGAAAGGGAGAAAAACACAGGTAAGAAGATCACCAAAACTTGTCAGCACGAAGCCTTGTGAGGAGCGAAAGGAGGAAGGAACACAGGTAAGGAGATCACCAAAACTTGTCAGCACGAAGCCTTGCGAGGAGCGAAAGGGGGAAAAACACAGGTAAGGATCACCAAAACTTGTCAGCACGAAGCCTTGCGAGGAGCGAAAGGGGGGAAACACAGGTAAGGAGGTCACCAAAACTTGTCAGCACGAAGCCTTGCGAGGAGCGAAAGGAGGAAGGAGCACAGGTAAGGATGTCACCAAAACTTGTCAGCACGAAGCCTTGCGATGAGCGAAAGGGAGAAAAACATAGGTAAGAAGATCACCAAAACTTGTCAGCACGAAGCCTTGCGATGAGCGAAAGGGGGAAAAACACAGGTAAGGAGATCACCAAAACCTGTCAGCACGAAGCCTTGCGAGGAGCGAATGGGGGAAAACACAGGTAAGGAGATCACCTAAACTTGTCAGCACGAAGCCTTGCGAGGAGCGAAAGGGGGAAAACACAGGTAAGAAGATCACCAAAACTTGTCAGCACGAAGCCTTGCGAAGAGCGAAAGGAGGAGGGAGCACAGGTAAGGATGTCACCAAAACTTGTCAGCACGAAGCCTTGCAATGAGCGAAAGGGAGAAAAACACAGGTAAGAAAATTACCAAAACTTGTCAGCACGAAGCCTTGCGATGGGTGAAAGGGGGAGAAACACAGGTAAGGAAATCACCAAAACTTGTCAGCACGAAGCCTTGCGAGGAGCGAATGGGGGAAAAACACAGGTAAGGAGATCACCAAAACTTGTCAGCACGAAGCCTCGCGATGATAGAAAGGGGAAGGAACACAGGTAAGGATGTCACCAAAACTTGTCAGCATGAAGCCTTGCGAGGAGGGAAAGGGTGAAAAACACAGGTAAGGAGATCACCAAAACTTGTCAGCACGAAGCCTCGCGATGATAGAAAGGGGAAGGAACACAGGTAAGGATGTCACCAAAACTTGTCAGCATGAAGCCTTGCGAGGAGCGAAAGGGTGAAAAACACAGGTAAGGAGATCACCAAAACTTGTCAGCACGAAACCTTGCGAGGAGAGAAAGGGGGAAAACACAGGAAAGAAGATCACCAAAACTTGTCAGCACGAAGTCTCGCGAGGAGCGAAAGGGAGAAGAAATACCGGTAAGAAGATCACAAAAACTTGTCAGCACGAAGCCTCGCGATGAGCGAAAGGGGAAAACACAGGTAAGGAGATCACCAAAACTTATCAGCACGAAGTCTAGCGAGGAGCGAAAGGGAGAGAAAATACAAGTAAGGAGATCACCAAAATTTGTCAGCACGAAACCTCGTGTAGACACACAGGTAAGGATGTTTCTGAAACGTCGACATCGGGTCATATTTTAATCATATCTAATTGTATATTTTTGGTACAGGTTTCGAATCTTCTTCATCAATTGCTAATATTCATAAATGTAATGATAGCACCAACACATACGAATTTCTCTCTGGAAGTCGTCATAAGCATTATTTTTCTTTCTGTGTATCTGGTTGTAATCAAAACTCTTCTGCGAAGGGACAATTTGCGTATTTTTACTGTCCGAAGTGTGAAACGTACATGTTGTTCAATATGTTATTGAGCTGGAGAACAATTATGGTTGATGTTTCCAGTTCTGTCAATGACATCTTTCCATAAAATCATAAAACAGTGACCTCTTTATCGGGAAAACTCCCCACACTCAAAGATGAATTTGTAGACGTGATGGGCATATTTATTCGTCAAAGACTTTTTTTTAAATCGTTTTATATTTGTTTTGGAACATTTCGCCTAATAAATTTAAATAGGAGGTATGCTTTATATCAGATATTTCACAAGTAATCACCTAGGCCAACGGTCACGCGAAAGGTCGTAAGTTCATAACAAAATAGAAAAGTGAGTTGTCTTTTACGTAGATTATATTATTTATTTTTTCAACCTTTTGGTGGAATAATTAACTTGAAAATTGTATCGAAGACCAGTCAGATTGCCAAGACTTGTTCACCGTTATAAATGTTTGATGTTCTATTGTAAGTTCCTTGTCTTTACTAAGATCGTTAATTTGATTAATCAAAATCCACGACAAAAATGGGTAATGTCTCGGTCAGTGAGACGTCACTCGTTCGTAATGTAATCCCTACGTGTTCGTTGTTCACATTCGTGGTCATCATTGCATCCTTTGGAGTTCCATATTCAATTAGTACCTATGATTTAAAGGGGGAGGGTGGGCGGAGTGATTTATACCGTATGGATAAATGTTAAGAGAAAATATTCCACAATTCAGTTTGCAATACACGATCGCATGTACCCTTGATACCATGTCGACGATGTAAGCAACATACAAGAAAACTCATGTTGTGTGTAATTAGTTTCGTCTACAGTCTTGTTTATTTCTAGAACAGTTTTGTGTGAAAATCAAAACAGCTCACACTCTCTTATTTGATCTGGGACAGACATCCGGAAACCCTCGCAGTCCAACAAATATATTCTCTTGTGGTTACATTTCCTTTAACGTCCTGAACATTGGTTCCAATTTAAAAGTTGAAAATTTAATTTTCTGATAGCAAAAAGTCACCTTATCCGCACGAAATCCTGGAATGCAGCAATTCTATTTTCTCTTCCAATGTGCGGAATTTGATTAGATTCCGTGGCTTCTATCTAATTTGCAAATCTTTGGATCTTTGGATAGCCGTAAATTGAATTAAAGATCGCAGGCTCGGCCAATTTAGAAACAGCAGTACAGACTAAGAACCTGGCGTTGATTTTGCACGTGAAAATGGGTAGGGGGTTACGAGAGCATGAAATGGCCGTTTGAAGTCTGTTGGGTTTTTTCAGATCAGACATGATTTTCCGAGCAAAAGTTATAAAATCCTAACTATTACAATGGTTTCTCAAGACATTTTTTACAACGCTGGTACCGCACGTGGTGTTAAAAAAATCAATACATTAGTAAATAATCACAGAGAGGAGAAGAGCTTATGAGATTTGACGAAAAGTTATGAGACCGGAAATAAGACCAAGAATGATAAAGAGCTAGAGGAAAGATGATTAAATGAATTAAGAGGTCAGCGAAAGAGATAAAAACGGGGAAAGATAGATAATTATGGCGTTGAGAAATATGCAAATTGTCACCAGTCGCACAAACGAGAAATCGTACGATCCGGTGTGACTGGTGCTCTATCGTCGTACGTCTTGAAAAGGAAAAAAATAAACAGGAGAAAACATTGGTGCGAGTCAATGAGAATGTGCGATAGCTTAGAAGGTTACAAAGACTGTTGGGAAAGTAATAGTAGTAAACTGAATGGGGGTATGTTTTATTGAAGGGGGGGGGGGGATAAGAAAAGGAAGAATATGTAAAATTAGCAAGAAGCAGAAAGGATGCCACATAAGATAGTCTAAAGTAGAACGCGCGTGATGGGACATAAGGCAAAAAGAAAGGCGAGAGTGGAAAGAAGGTAGAATAGAGAGGATTGGAGCTTAGCAAATGGAGAGGAGATGGTGAAAGAGTTGGCGGCAAACAGGAGACGGGGTAGAGAAGCAGTCAAGTAGGTAAGGCTGTGTAAGGGAACAGTAAAGAGGAGAGGGTAAAGAGAGAACAAAGTCAGAGAGGTGAAGGTTTGTGAGGGGACGGTAAACAGGAGGGTATAGGTAGAAACAAATCAGAGAGGTGGGGGTTCGTGAGGGAACAGCAAACAAGAAGGGCATAGGGAGAAACAAATCATAGAGGTGGGGGATCGTGAGGGAACAGCAAACAAGAAGGGCATAGGGAGAAACAAACCATAGAGGTGGGGGATCGTGAGGGAACAGCAAACAGGAAGGGCATAGGGAGAAACAAATCAGAGAGGTGGGGGTTCGTGACGCAACAGCAAACAGGAAGGGCATAGGGAGAAACAAATCATAGAGACGGGGGTTCGTTAGGGAACATCAAACAGGAAGGGCATATAGAGAAACAGGTCAAAGAGGTGGGGGTTCGGGAGGGAACAGCAAACAGGAAGGGCATAGGGAGAATCAAACCATAGAGGCGAGGGTTTGTGAGGGAACAGCAAACAGGAAGGGCATAGGGGGAAACAAATCATAGAGGTGGGGGATCGTGAGGGTGAGGGAACAGCAAACAAGAAGGGCATAGGGAGAAACAAATCATAGAGGTGAGGGTTTGTGAGGGAACAGCAAACAGTAAGGGCATAGGGAGAAACAAAAAAGAGAGTTGGGGGTTCGTGAGGGAACAGCAAACAGGAAGGGCATTGGGGTAAAAATTCAGAGAGGTGAAGGTTTGTGAGGGAACAGCAAACAGGAAAGACATAGGGAGAAACAAATCAGAGATGTGGGGGTTCGTGAGGAAACAGCAAACAGGAAGGGCATAGGGAGAAACAAATCAGAAAGGTGGGGGTTCGTGAGGGAACAGCAAACAGGCAGGGCATAGAGAGAAACAAATCAGAGAGGTGGGGGATCGTGAGGGGACAGCAAGCAGGAAGGGCATAGGGAGAAACAAATCATAGAGGTGAGGGTTTGTGAGGGAACAGCAAACAGTAAGGGCATAGGGAGAAACAAAAAAGAGAGTTGGGGGTTCGTGAGGGAACAGCAAACAGGAGGTGCATGGGGAGAAACAAATCATAGAGGCGGGGGTTCGTGATGAACAGCAAACAGGAAGGGCATAGGGAGAAACAAAGCATTGATGTGAGGGTTTGTGAGGGAACAGGAAGGGCATAGGGAGAAACAAATCAGAGAGGTGGGGGTTCGTGACGGAACAGGAAACAGGAAGGGCATAGGGAGAAACAAATCAGAGAGGTGGGGGTTCGTGACGGAACAGCAAACAGGAAGGGCATAGGGAGAAACAAATCAGAGAGGTGGGGTCTTGTGAGGGAACACTAAAAAAAAACCACCAAAAAAACCCACTCCGGTAGAAACAAATCAGAGAGGTGGGGGTTCGTGAGGGAACAGCAAACAGGAAGCGCATAGGGAGAAACAAATCATAGAGGCGGGGGTTCGTGATGAACAGCAAACAGGAAGGGCATAGGGAGAAACAAATCAGAAAGGTGGGGGTTCGTGAGGGAACAGCAAACAGGAAGTGCATGGGGAGAAACAAATCATAGAGGCGGGGGTTCGTGATGAACAGCAAACAGGAAGGGCATAGGGAGAAACCAATCATATAGGCGGTGGTCCGTGAGGAACAGCAAATAGGAAGGTCATAGGGAGAGAAAAAAAAGGATAGAGGTGAGGGTTTGTGAGTGATCAGCAAACAGGAAGGGCATAGGGGGAAAAAAAATCAGAGATGTGAGGGTTTGTGAGGGAACAGCAAACAGGAGGGGCAAAGGGAGAAAAACATCAGAGATGTGAGGGTTTGTGAGGAAACAGCAAACAGGAAGGGCATAGGAAGAAACAGGTCAGAAAGGTGAGGGTTTGTGAGGGAACAGCAAACAGTAAGGGCATAGGGAGAAACAAAAAAGAGAGTTGGGGGTTCGTGAGGGAACAGCAAACAGGAAGGGCATAGGGAGAAACCAATCATATAGGCGGTGGTCCGTGAGGAACAGCAAATAGGAAGGTCATAGGGAGAGAAAAAAAAGCATAGAGGTGAGGGTTTGTGAGTGATCAGCAAACAGGAAGGGCATAGGGGGAAAAAAAATCAGAGATGTGAGGGTTTGTGAGGGAACAGCAAACAGGAAGGGCATAGGAAGAAACAGGTCAGAAAGGTGAGGGTTTGTGAGGGAACAGCAAACAGGAAGGGCATAGGGAGAATCAAACCATAGAGGCGAGGGTTTGTGAGGGAACAGCAAACAGGAAGGGCATAGGGAGAAACAAATCATAGAGGCGAGGGTTTGTGAGGGAACAGCAATCAGGAAAGGCGTTGGGGGAAAAAATCAGGGAGGTGAGGGTTTTTAAGGGAACAGCAATCAGGAAGAGGTATAGAGAGAAACAAATCAGTGATGTGAGGGTTTGTGAGGGCACAGCCATCACAACGGGAAGTAGAGAAGAAATGAGAATCGTAAGGGTTTGAGCGAGGACGGTAAATAGGAGAGGGCATAGAGAAAAATCAGAGAGGTTTTAGATGAAACAGCAAGCAATATTTTTGTTGGAGAGAACAGAAATTATAAAACAAGTCATAGGATTGAAGAGATTACTGACGGGAATATGTCGATAGCCTATTTATATAAAACAAACTCGTGTCTTCCTGGACTTGCTTTTAAAATCTGTATATGCGTGTTTCTGTGTATTTATATACGTCCTTGTTAGATATGTTGGCGTCTTTGCTATTGGTTCTGTCTGTATCCTGCTTGAGTGTGTAGTTGTGTGCATACATTCATATATCTGTTTATTTTCGAGATATTTGTATGTGTTTCTGCGTCATTATATATCTTTGAAATTGCTTTGAGATGGTTTTACGTATATGAGGAAACCGTTCATTCAAAATCGATCAATCCTTATGAATTTCAGTTTTAGTTTTCCTGTTCGTTCTATGCCAATTGCAGTGTATGGAATTGTGCATATTTAAATGCAGGTTAAGGTTATGTATATCACAATGCTGTGAAAATGAAAAGTGATCAAATTCCTAATTGCCTTCCAATTGTCATTTCAATTTCAAATTCGAATTGTATTTCAGACAGTTTCCGAGACATAATTGAATCAGTCAAGTTTACGTAGTCGTGAAAAGTGTCAGATGTTTTCATTTGAAAGCAATTCAATGTTTTATCATGTCAACAAAAGACGAAAATTTGCATTTAAACTAGTTTGGGAAATTAGATATTTACTAGTGTTTAGTTCAAATCTTCTAACGCATAGCCAGATCCGGTTTCTATTCTGAATGTAAATGTCAAAAGCAACCAGATGTTGTGGACTACTTCTGTTTCTCTTTCCGTAAGAACTAATATGATCCTAAATTTCTGTTAGATTAGATAAAGCCTATCAATACCTAACATGCTCTGCAGTTCGATAGCGATTCCTAAAAGATTTGCATCTGCATACACAAGCACAGCTTATTTCATAAACTCAATAGAGTAGAAACAAACCTTCTCTATAGTGTAAGAATATGCGTTTGTATTTTCATAACACGTTTACTCAATATATGAAGCCCTGAAGCATGCCAGTTTGTTATTTGTTGGGGTTTTTATTGTCCTTTTCCGATTTTGAATTTTTCAGTATGTGAGAGTCATGCGTGTAAATTATATTTATGTGTGCTTGATATTACAGGATATGTTGACGACACCGCACCGATTGATCCTGCCTGATCACCAAGGAAACGGACGAGTGACGACGAGTATCCTTGGCTACAAAAGCAACACGCAGTACCATTGCCTCGTGAATTTCTGGCGGTGTATTGTGGGATCGTACCGCGCTCAGAAGACTGGGCGTTCTGATCAAAACAGTGTCAGCAAAATCGATCTGACGTCACGTCTTCTCTTTCCGGGATCTTTCGGACTTTTCCACATATTCTACTGGTCGTGGTATTTAGGGACAAGGCTGTGAATGGCCAAAGATATCCGACACTCAGACAAAAAGTCATCAACATAATATGATGTGTGCTACTTAAACGCAAGCTTGCAAGAACTAAAATAATGTTTTAATTAAATTTTGAATAACTGCATCTCATAGGCAGTGTGAATTATAGAATATAGCTTCAAATAGCACAGACGTATGTATCTGTGTTATAATAGGGGCAATGCATAGCTTACTTTGTAGCATGATTTGTTAGGGTAATCTAAGTGACTGTAGCGATTGTAACAGTGGTCAAATGACGTATGATAAATGTACACTTGTAAGCTTCCTTGTGATATTGGCGTGCTGTTAAGTATCTAACAAAAGTCAACCAAAAGAGTACCGGCGCTAGTTGTTTCATTTATGTTTCTTGTTATTCGATTATATTTGTATTTCTGTAGCGTTTTGCTGATATACATGTACTTTGGAAGCGACTTGATGATAAAAATTGATTAATGATATCTTTTTAAAAACTGTAGGTTGTTCAGTTCCCAGTGCTCTGTTACAATATCCTAATACACATTGCAATGTATCTGCTATTTGACACATCGCAATAATCATCACGACCAGGCAAGTTTAATTATCATATCTGGTCAAGTTCAATTCTTTTGGGTGTCTTCCTATTATTTCTGTAATTATCATGTGAAGTCAACATACAGTTTACATTGTCGTTTATGAAAAAACTGTACACGACCTGTCGCAGAAAATATCTCAAAAAGCCATGGTACAGATACGCGACCTAATATAAATGGATGGCAGAAATCAATTGGGCTAATTAATGTATCTGATGTTTTGATTGATATATTATCACAAGGCTTACTTTTATTATGGTATCCAACATCCCCTGTCAGAACATCGATTTTGCTAAAAATGATATATATTAACAATTTCTGATGGACGGACTTCTCGGTTGGAGATATCATCCCATTTAAAAATATTTATTGCTTTTTTTCTGTGGTCAGTACAGCGGCGTCCTGAGCCATTTGCCCGATGGTCCAGTAGCCAGGCCACAATCAGTGCCGCATTGGATTAGATTGGTCGAGTCATGTGCAGATATTCAATCATTTAATGTCATATCTCCCAATTTGGCGAATTACATTTGTTCAATACAGGCTGAGCGCGATGAGCCTTGTTTGGACCAATTATTATTTTCCCGTCATGCATGTGTAAACAGGAAGTGACATATCAAACAGCAAAAGCAAAGGTCTACATGAAAAACATATAATTGATGAAGACTGCTATTAAATGCTTTCAAAAGCTTTTCCTCGTTAGCTTGAGACATACCCCATGCTTATTTACATAACTATGCGACTGTTGGTATATAAAGATATATAAGATTATTTGTTTTTTTTGATGATGTTGTGATACCATGCTGAAGTATAATAGTAATATGTATTCTTCCTTGATCTTTCTAATCAATGCATTCCGAAACACTCTCTGAGGCATAAAGGCCTAGAGGTTTTTCGTTTCGGTTAATTCATAGAAGTCGAGCAAACTTTGACATTAAATTTATAAATTTACTATTTTCTTACGAATAAAAAAGTTGAAAACACAACTCGAAGCCTTTATTGTTTGTGTCTCCATGGAATATGATGTTTCAAAACACATGTTGTCTCACATATATTTAAAAACACACCTGTCTTTGCATGAACGAGATTTACCATATGTCTGTGATTTGGCTTTATACCATCAAACCTACTTTTCTGAAATGTTGAAAACCTAATCAGCTAACTACATTATTCAATAAATTGTACATCTGTAACATTCAACATGTAAGACGTTATTATAACACAGCCCGTAGCAGCAGGAATTCAAGTATTGAAGACTAATTTGTCTATCATAGAATGTAGGTATAGGGGATATGGAAATTAGTCAGAGGGCTAGAGGGGCTGAACCCGAATTCCTCACTTGATGATAGAATTTCTATATTACCAAACCCAAAATATTAATATACTCTATTCCTTTCACGTCTTAACTCCAAATTTGATAAAAATCGACGATAACATTGAATAGAGCATATTTTCTACATAAATTACAAGTAAACAGCATTCTAAGTAAATTCCAAGTTAACAGCAAAGCCTTGCTTCTTACCTTATATCCCCACGTTCCCTTGGTAGAACGTTCCTGATTCCTGGTACTAGTGACATAATTAATTTATTAAACCTCCTACCACGATACCTGTAATAATAGTGTCTTGGTTATTGTATATAACTAATTTAAATGTAATAACGTGTACGTGGATACTAAACAACGCTTCCATCAGGTCTCTACGTGCTATTAATTAAAGTTGTTAATTAAAGTTAGTTAGAAAGGGCTTGACGATAAATACATCCAGGAGTTTGAAAACGGAAATGAACAAGTTAGATGCTTCTTGTTTGAATGTGGTTATCATGTGACAGAGATGCGAGTTAAACTTGAGAACGGCTTTCCTTTTCGTTTACTATATATACTGTATACGGAGAATTGTTCGCCCAATCAAACTTTCGCTTATGAGACCAATTTTCCCTAAGGGATCATTTCGCCCTTCATTACTATGTATATCATGTTGTTTACTAATATTCGCTGTACTGATAAATTCCCCTCGTTACAGGGGGTGAAAAGGGCAAAACATTGAACTAGCGACATTTTCGCTTTATACAGTAATTCTTTATAGAGGAGGGATTCCTCTATCATTTCCGCTGTTATATGTACCCTGATGTTTTGAGGTAAACCACCATAATGCATACGGACGGCCAGAATGTTCTTCTTATCATCAAATTTACTGGTCTGCCATTTAATTTGCTATACGCCCCAGACAATCTTTTAGCATCGTAAATACACCGACCGCCAAAGGGCAAACTGCGTCTCTTAAATTTCGTTTCATGCTTTTAACTTTAAAATCAATTTATATTCGACATACGTGCAAGTAAGGTCACTGACAACTGACAAACATTGTCAGTGCCTTTTTTGCCGTGACTGGAAATCACGTTGTGCTCACAAATTAAAGCACGAAAGTAAATTTCAAGTCATGTGCAGATCGTCGATGACAAAACTTCAGTTGGCATGCGAAAGTTTGGCACCGACAGCTCATCCAATCATTCCCGTTCTTTTTAACTCCCAGCGTCATGTTTGGTTGACGATTGTTATCTCTTCTTGCTTTTGGTGTCTGTCTATCGAAACTTTTTTCCTACCATCAATGTGACCGTCAAATAACGTACAATGACACTGCGCTTACATCATTCAACCGTCTACAGAAACCAGTACACACGAACTTCACTGAAAATTCAATTAGGCAAAGAAATCGGTTCAATGTTTAAACCCATTGCCAGAGGACATTGTCTTGAAAATTAAAGATAAAAACAAAAAACTCATATTGGTTTTAAATCGAATGTATCCTTCTAATTCAAATCTAAATAGGAAAGCTAAAGGTCATTCGTGTGTGAAAAGTGCGTAATTCCGTTGGTATTGCTTTCTGGTGCAAACATGTCAAACTTCACTGCACACTTTTTACTATTAGATTGGTATTCACACTGTTTATCTGGAAAAAATATGCGCAAATGATTTAAAATTGAGTTAGAAAATGGTTTGAAAGAATACGTAGACAAATAATTACAGGGCACAACAACATCATTTTAATAGCTTTCGTGAACGCCAATTTCAATAGTTCTCTTTGGTCATTGAAAAATTACCTTGTTTATTTTGTTTTCATGAAAAGATCATTCTATCATACTCTGTTGACGGCCTGTTCTACTTTTCCTGTGTATGTTACGCGTGTGGTCTTTCGTACATAACGGGTGCTTTGGGAAAATATATTTGAACGACCCTAAAATTGATTTCATTAAATGTCACATTTAATTTATAGAATTAAAGTGAACGATAACCAATTCGGGTTTTTCTGTACCGAAGGAAAAAATATCAATATATATTCAGACAAATTATAATAACGCCGTATCTGGCACAGACAAATACCAATATATATGCAATGTATTTTGTCTCTAGTCAAATTTACAGAATATAATAGATTGACTGGCCGTTACATGTCGTCTCCACGGGTTGTTTTTACCAAGCATAATTGACAAAAGTTAAGACTGACTTGTGCTTTTTCGCGGAACGCTTTCCCTGTGGAATCCAGCATCTGAATATTTTATTTGACTTCATCGTTTACTTGTAAAGGGATTTGTTTCTGTCAACAACATGGTAATGGACGTAGTCCTTTGATATAAATGGAACATGAGTTCCATTAAATTCTTTCATTCAAAATTCATTCAAAACGAAATATTCACAAAAGACATAAGCTGATGACAAAAAGTAAACTGTTTGAAGGGTCAATACGAACAACAAAATTCAGAAACATAAGTGTACTTTTTCGTTTTTTTTATTTTCAAAAATGCAAACTTGTTAATCTAAAAGATCGCTGGAGACAAACTTACACCATTGAAAATCAGTTAAAAAAGGGTACCACAACGTCACTACACAACGAAGAAAAATACTAACTTGCTTTTCGTCGAGTAACTAAAGAGACGCCAAAACAAAACGTAATACATGATGAACCTAAATAAAAAAGACAGACAAAACTAGTTGTTCCCGAAGGGACAAAATGACTGCAATGTACATTAGTAACCATTGTTTTTCATTTCAAAACTATTTCATTGTTTCAATAAGCAATAGAATTGAGCACATGCATTGCCTTTAAAAACCCTTTCCATATAGAAAGACGCATTTCAGACACATACTGCATGCAAATTGAAGATGTAATATATTAAGTTAAGGTAGATACAATGTAGGGTAGGCCGAACCAATAATCCAGTTATATATATATGAACATAGAGAGTATCAGTCTGATTGGAATACCAGATATTTTAATAGCGTAGATCTAGTGTTTGGTTAGGGCACTTCAAAATCACTATCACTACACACAGTGTCATAGTAACTAGCTACACTAGAATTGCAGAAAAGTAATGATACATAATATAATGTGTGGTACAATATAGTTAAAATCTTCCAGATTGTCATAAACAACGACAAATCCGAACTGACTGTCGAAAAGAAAGGAAAGCAACGGAAAGTAAAGAGACGCAAAAACAAAACGAGGTACATCATGAACCTAAAACAACGGAAGCAAAACTAGATGCTGCTGAGGAGGAAGTATTTCCTTCACCGCATGTGGTGTGATGATGTTTGCGTCTATTTCAGTAAAGGGTGTAGGTCATAAACAATCAAGGAAGTGGTGTACAGGTTTTTAATCATATAACACGCTGATGTTTCAACACAGAATGAGGACTCTTGGGTAGAAGATTCTGGCTAGGTATGTACTGGTCACCAGTACATAGTCTTTCCGGAAAATCCTGCCTAAATATGTATTGGTCAACAGGATAAAATCTGCCCAGAAAACCCTAACTCAGCATTTATTAGTCAAAAGGACAAGTTCTGTCTAAAAATCCTTGAAAAAAGAAGCATGCAGTTCTAGAAAAAAAGGTTATTCAAGGACTAAATACTGACCCTTCCTGAATACTTGGTCTTATTTTTATTGGGTTTTTTTAATTGTCATCATCATTTTTGTTTTATTTCATTCATAGTTTGTCTTAGATTTTTAGATAATGAGTTCAAATAACAGTTCTGTCGACACTTCAGTATTCTCTGATTGAAAACCTTAAGTCGACGAAAGGGCAAGAATATCCTTCGTCAAAAATCCTAGAATTGTAAATAATACATTCAGTGTTAATGAATCAATAGAAAATATCAAATTCACGATCGACTCATCTCGCGAAATAATGCGGTAATATAAATTTCAACTAAAACTGATTCAACATATTTAACGGTAAAAAAAGTTTAACGTATTTTCATGTGGCGTATAATTATTTTCAATTAGAGGGTAATTGTATCGACGATGTCATGTGATACAAACATCCGCCGCGATTTGCGTTTCGTTAGAACTCGTTTAATATGTTAAATTGTTAAATATGATTCCTTCCAGAGAATGTGATGATGTTGTTTTTTTAATGATCACAGGATGGGTAACATTGTTGGTGATCTATCAGTTCCTGAGGTTCGCCATTACTTTGTAACTGGAATTAATTCTGGTATTGTTTGCATTAAAGATTACTTTAAAAATAAAGTTATTTTGTTGTCAAAGGTGCACGTTTGTCACGTTAGAAAGGGTTAAGCTGATCCCCCACCCCAACCCCTCTAATTGTATTTATTAGTTTCTAAACATTTTACCATTGAATAAAATCTTTTTAACTTAATCACCTCTGATGAGTTGTAGAGGTACGTGACGTCAGTCATATTACGCAGTAAGTGTTTACTTCGACTTTTTAAATAAGTGCCCTTCCTACTTTTAATTTCTACTGATTATTTAACACCCACTGAACATAAAATGACGACAGGTATACAAGAATACACGTCCAGAACAGCGATCGAGACGATTATATTGATTACACTTAACAAGTAACGATTTGTTGTACCTTCACTGCCGTGCCTGGAATCAGTGTTGGTGTATTTTATATTACAGAAGACAGTAAACGACTGTACAGAAAAGGTCTGTACTAGTTGCTCA